ATTCAAATAATTCCCTTACTATGCAGCAACTTCAAATCTGTAGGCTGAATATTTTAAAATCTATCATCAGAATGAGCTAACACTATACTTAATTCAGTAAATTGGAATTTTCTCTTTCTGTAAGTTGTAAATAATGTTATAGCAAACATCCAAGAGGGTTAGTGACACTTTGTAAAAGACAGTATTGTTACGACAGCGGAAGTCACATGAGGCTGGTAACATGTGATGAATTTCTCAATTGATCATGAATTATCAGGGAAGACAGAGTTTGTTCAGGATGCCCTCTTTTTTAGATATAAGTTTGGCAGGGAAAGCCTGCGGGATTGAATGAAGAGAGTTACGCATAATTTACGATTCTGTTTCGAGCTAGTGTGTGTTTGAGATTGTGAATTGCTGTGATTTATAGCATGTATTACAAGAGTAGTTAATTTAAAATGACGAGAAATGAAGTGATTGTGAAATTACTGTGTACTAAATGTTTGTATCAAGAAAGAATAAACTGCTTTAATCCAGAAAGGACTTGTATCACTGAAGTTCCTCGGGAAAAAATTTCTACCGGAAATTAACAAACAAGCAGATACGCAACAGTATGTCATAGGAGGGTGTGGCAAGTGGGTTTATCTTTCTAACTTAATGCTCTGTAAATCATGATGATTGTAGGATATGAAATAAAATTATATCTCAGCAATATCTGTAACATAAGTTTGTAATTTATATTAAAATTCAGAAGCTGAAAGAATGTTTAAATGAGCAATTCTGAGTGAATAAATATCACATGATTGAGAAATTATTTTTATATTTTCTTTTGAAACTAAAATATTAAAACTTATATAATATTAAAATTTGATTTATTAACCATGTTTTTATACCAAATTTATTTAGATAAATTGATAATAATAAATAAATAAAATAATTGATTATAATAAATTGATAATTAAATTTTAAATGTAACTGTAAAATATTGTGACATGCAAACTTTGAACCCTATCTGTACATATAGGGTTAAATACAGAGTTAAGAATTTTAGTAACTTGACCCCAATTTAATATTAAATAACTTTTCAAACTAAAAGTATATAAATATATAAAACTTCTTATTAAGATTTAAACTTACCTGAACCTGATACCCACTCTTCATCAAAGAAAACTGCATTCCTATTGAAATTACCTTGACTAAATTTCTTCTCACGACTTGATTTAGAATTCTAAGAAATAAAAACATTTACAAAAATTGTTACACACTTCTTCAATATATTGTAAAATAAAGTTTCATGAATAACATTGTGAACTGAAGCTTGCAGACAAAATTGATTCTGAAATGTAGCACTAATATTTATATACCTTTAGAATAACATATAGACTATTTGAGGATAACTGTTACAGAACAAGAAAAAATAGCTATATATATATAAAAGTTACAGATTTATTTTCTTTCTCACCTAACATGGAATAATGATTTAGGGACAAGTCCTAACAATATTCACACACCTAAATTATTTTAGATCACTTTAATGTTGATTGAAAAGGACTTAAAAACCTCACAAATATTAAATAAAAATCACTGTTATAAGAGATCCAACTGCATTTCTTTGGTTTACTAGCCCAAGCTGTACTGATGAGTGTTTAATAGGTAAACCTGGAATCCACAGCAGAGGGTACAGGCTATTAAAGCAAGCATTAGGCCTCTACATCAGAGAGGGTACAGCCAATCAAAGAAAGCATTAGGCCTCTACATCACAGATTTGTTTTCAATTTTACCTTTGATGAGAAAGACAATAAATTTATAACACACACATATATATATATATATAGTCAGTAAATAGTTGGTCTGATATATGATATGGAATAATGATATATGTAATATTAGTCACACACCAAAATTGTATTAGGTTACTTTATTGGTGACTGAAAAGGACTTTAAAAACCATAAAAGAAAAAATAATGTATTTATTAATTAAATTTTGTCTTTGCAGCTATTGCCCAAAAATAATTATTGTATAATATATCATTATTTCTTTAAATTAGTATTGGCTGTGATGATAACCTATACTATAATATCACGCTGTAGAAAAATCTCTTAAAAATGGTTAGATTTTACTGGTAATAATACAATTCATCAAAGTTTTTTGTTAATGAGCAAGCTAAAGGCTAAAATTCTCTAACAGCTTGTACTTCAATTTTAAAAATTTCGGATAGTTCTAAAGAACAAAAGTAATGTTACGTATCTGCTTGTTTGTTAATTCCCAGTAGAAATTCTTTCCAGGAAACTTCAGCGATGCAAGTCCCTTTCTTGATTAAACCAGTTTATTCTTTCTCAATACAAACTTTTAGTACACAGTAATTCCACAGTCAGTACATTTCTCGTTACTTTAAACTTAACAACTTTTACAATACATGCTATAAATCACAGTGATTCACAATCTTGATAAATTCGCTCTCTACGAGTGCAAAACACACACTAGCTTGAAACAGAATCATAAATTACCCGAAAAACCGTAACTACTGTTCGCTTTTCCATCCATTTATTCATCATCATCCGCTGGCTTTTCTCGCCAGACTTATATACTAACAAAGAGGCTTTGACAAAATTTGAGGAGTTTCCTGATAATTCAAGAAACTCAGTCACGCATATAAGATACTGATATGTTCTAGAAGTGCATTCTTTCTATATTTTAACACTTTCTTAATATAGATACATCCTAATAGCTACTAATTTTCATCTAAAAGAAAGAACTATTGTAAAGGTTAAAAGTTTTATTATACTTACTCAGGCCCTTTAACTGCACATACTATCAACCAACACCTGCTAAACTTCATGCTCAGCATGATGAGCTTATTGATAACTTCATTTACTTGATGATAATCTTCAAGATCGTGGGTATTTGAAACAATAACTCCAGTCTCTTCATCCAGCACAAGGTCTGCAAAGTATAATTTTACTTTTTCTGCTGGAAGAAAGTTTAAAATCTGTTGATAGTTTCTTTCAATGATTGTTAGTCCATACCTGTAAACAATGAAGGGTGAATAGCATAAACTTGTTAGTTATTCTAGGTATATGCTATTTTTACATAAAACATGAAAAAGAAAGTCATTAATATACTTTAGTTATAGCTACCTCTGTTTTTTGTCATTCCCTTGGAATAATACCTGGTTTGCAATTGTGCATAAATTTAGATAGCAGTGTTCAACAATGGCAGGTCAGGTGATATCTCGAGGATTATAATTTCCCTGAGAATGACCAGTCACATGGGTAGCACTAGTTGCTCTAGGTATGTCTGACATTACTGTTTTAACTAAGTAACTATAGGTATAGTCAGTTTGGAACAAAACGAGAGAAAGCAGTTTTTGGATCTAGCTTTTCACTAAAATGACAATCCATCATACAAAAGCAAGTACACACACTGTGTTTATGAATAATAATGATTATATATTTCTGTACAGTTGTGTCTCTCAGGAACTTAGTTTCAGAACTACTTTGTAATAAATATCCTGATACAATCCCCAGTTATTCTGTAAACCTATCTTTCAGCTCTATGGAAAACCAAATGGACCTGAAAACACATCAGTGTTGTGTGAAAATTTGCATATCAAATTTCAAAATTTAAGTAAAAATAACAGTTCTAACTTCTTACTCCATATCAACAATGTTAACTCAAAATATTTTAGAAATGATATTTTGTAACATTTATTTAGTGTCATTCAGAAAGAAAAATGTAAAAAGTATTGAAATGAAATTTCTGCATGCAAAGCTTAAGGAATCGCACCTGTAAACAAGGTACTTACCAACTTTTTATTAGAATTTTTACAGCCCATCCCAAAGGTTTATACTTGCTAATAAAATAACATAATTTCAGAATACAATTAACTAAGTCTTGTTTCTATCTTGATTTTCCTTCTCTATTTTAAGATTTATTACTATATGCTAGAAGGTTATAAAAGGATGGGAACAACTATTAATGATTAAAGTAGATTATAAGCTATATAGGTCAATAAAGTATTGTTATGTATCTGCTTGTTTGTTTGTTTCCGATAGAAATTCTTTCCGAGGATCTTCAGCAATACAAGTCCTTTCTTCATTAAACCAGTTTATTCTTCCTCGATACAAACTTTTAGCACACAGTAGTTCCACAATCAGTATGTTTCTCGTCACTTTAAACTTAACAACTTTTATAATACATGCTATAAATCACAGCGATTCACAATCTCGATAACTTTGCTCTCAATGAGTGCAAAACACACACTTTATGGCTCACTAGCTCGAAACTAACAAAATCATAAATTACACAGAACTCAAAGTAACTACTGCTCTCTCTCTTCATTTATCTCTGCTGGCTTTCTCTGCCAGGCTTATATACTATCAAAGAGGGCATCTCGAACATATGCTTCCCCGATCATATGAGAAACTCATCACGCACGCTACCAGTGCCAATGCACCAGCAGCATCATGTGACTTCTGCTGTCGTAACAATACTAACTTGATCATAACTGTGTTGCAGGTCTCTGCTAGTTAAGAATATTTTTTTAAGTAACTGTGACTCTTAAGGACCTACATGTGTGTGGTTAAGATACCCTTTGTTAAATGTACAGATTATGGGAAGGAATCAAAATCTTTATCACAGGATCTTTGAAACCCAACAAAAAAAGTTTAAAAATTCCAACAAGTTAATTATATCAATAAGTTTGTTAACCTATACACACACATACACATACATACATATGATCATTTTCATAATGGTTTTAAGTAGTGAGTTTTACAATTTCATATTTTCTTTTGGATATTTTTTTGTCTCTAGGAGTGTATTTGTTGCACGTGCATTGTTGGGTTGGATGGAATTGACTGTTTATGTGTAAATGCCTGAAATGCAATAAACATTATGAAGTACAGACAAATACAAGTGTTTCAACTTACTTAATTAGTTATCGAAATAGAAGATTTTTTTCAGAAAATAAACATAGTTATGCATGGAGTCCTCCTTTGATTAATATGCTTAACTACTTTAGGAAGTGTTGGCTCTTCTTTGTCCAGTACTAATTAGTCATGCAGAACAGAAGAGTACATTAAAGAAAGAAGACACAAAAAATAAAAAACTCTCAGGAGTTGGACAAATTAAAGGTATGTGAGCAAAATATTAGTTTTAACTGGTGTTAAATGATAATATATACAGTGTCAGTGAACATTTATGAAACATCTTGCAAAATGTGGAAATTTTTTAAACTCGGGAGAGAGAAAATTGCTACATTTTTTGGCACAAGAAGTTTTATTTTTGTCAATTTTACAAGTTAAATTATTCAAAAGGAAGATAGAATTATTTTGAACAGTAAAGTTTTAAAGCAATGGACTATTATGAGGTATATTCAAATGGAAACAGTTTATACATTTAAAAAGTCTTTCCAAAATGAATCTTATTAAACCAGGCTTGTACAAATCGTGGGCACCAAGTCACCATGTCGATTAAAAATTTCATTGTGTGTAGTATTTTCTCCCATTTTATTTGTGCATAGGGCTGTGCTAAATAGAAATCGAATCTAGAACAGTTCTGGACTCTTGGAAGTATAGAACTATTTGAGGCTGTTTGTGACCTTACTCGTTGTGAGATGGATACGTATATTCGTTCTGGTGGTGTTTCTTCAAGGGGCTCTGAGGCTGCACTTGCGACTGATCCTGTACATTCTGGAGAGAATTTAGATTTGCTTTTTTCAGTTCCTTTATTCTGCCACCTTCTCAGGAGGCCAACTTGAGATCAGGTGCCTCTGGCTCCTTTTCTTCAGTTGGTAAATAGAGTGGGTGATGTTTTGGGTCTTTCCCTGGTTGCTTTTGAGTCTGCACCTTCCTTGATGGCAGAAGGGTCTGAGGATGAATTCTTAGTTCTCTCTTCATCCCCTGATATTACAGTTCATGCAGGGAGGTTTACTGCTTAGTTAGATGAAGGGACAGCTAGCCTTTTCCCCCCACATTTGTCAGAACACCATGCTTTAACCTACCGTTGCCAGGTAGATGCGTATTTGGACTCTCAAAGAATAGACCTGCTCCTGGAAATTTGGATTCCAGAATGGAGTCTGTGGTCAACCTGAAATAATCACAGTTTTCTAGGATTCATCTGGCACTAACAACAGTGCTAGGGTATTTATCATCCCTCTAACCTTTGTCAGAAGTCTCTCAGCGATCGCCACATCAATTTGATGATGAGTTGAGACCTTTGTTAGCATCTATCTTTGTTCGATTATTCACTTTTGCACTTTCCCTGATTTCTTGGCTGGTATGTTGTTGAGATTAGTTGGGGAGAGATATGTTGTTGGAGGGCATTCATCTACCAGCTGTTGTCCTGTAGATTTCCCATCTGCTGCAGATCCTCGGATTTTGGAACTTTGTTTCAGGGCTATAATAGATTGGTTGGTCAAGGGGTAGTGAAGAGAGTCATCCCAGATCTTCCAGGGTTTTATTCCTGTCTGTTTGTTGTGCCGAAGAAGACAGGAGATGGGCATCTGGTCATCAATCTTTCTCATCTAAATCAATCAATTCCTAGATCCACCAAGGTTCACGATGGAGTCATTCCTTACTCTGCATTGGTATTTTTTACCAGGACTGTGAATGACCAAGTTCGATGTTGCCGATGCCTATTTGTATTTTGTAGACAAGGGTCAGGTACTGCAGTTGAGGGCTCTGCCCTTTGTACTAGCATCGACATCATGTGTTCTGACGAATCATACAAGCTTTTTCTTGTCACCTTAATACCCTAGGCCTGTTCACACACCATTACATGGACAACTGCTGGCACCATCTCATCAGTTGGTGGAACATCACACCCAGATTCTACTTTCTGAAGCAACCAAGACAAATTTATTCTCCCTCTAACACAATATATCATCCATCTGTGTGTCTGTTTCAACATGTATCTCAGTTAGACCCAGCCGACTCCCATCCAGCTCCTTCCTATGGAACAGGTAGTCTGACTCTTACTCACCTCTCCTTCTCCCACAGTACAGATGTTTTTTTTCCCTTTTGGGGATGTTGGCATCACTGTAATCCCTCATTTCTTTGGGATGAGCACACATGAGATCCCTTCAGTGGTCTCTATGTGACCAATGGATCATGAACAGTGATTCAGTGGATTCTCCACTCTCCTTATTCAGGATCAACATCTTCAATTTCGAGTGGTGGTTAAATCAGAACAATACTACGATAAGTGTTCCTCTGCCACCTCATCCAGAGATCCATCTCTTGATAGATGCCTTACTTCAGAAATGGGGTGCATACCTCAATGGTCAGAAATTCCAGGGCCTACGGATAGATAATGAGGCTTCCCTACATAATATTTTAGAACTTCTTGCTGTTCATAGGACGATGTCTCAAGGTCTGGACTTATTAAGAGGAAAATCATCATGCTTCACTTAGACAATTACATGGTGGTGTCTTACATTTCCTGTCAAGTGGCACTCAATCCAGGTCTCTTTGTATTTGAACCTTGGATCTTCTTAATTGGGCCCACTCCTGTTATATCATCCTAACAGCTTGTCAGGTTCTGGGAGTGATGATTTGGATGGCAAATCAATTGTCTTGACCCAACCGGATTCTGCTGACATAATGGATGCTGCATTGAGGGTTTTTGTTGAATTTACTCTCAGTTTGGGACACTGATGATCAATGTGTTTTCCACTCATTGGAACACTCAACTATCAGCATTTTTTTCTCTGGTACCTCACCCTCTGGCATTGGCAATAGATTCATTCAGTCAGGACTGGACGGGATTGCACCTCTATGCCTTCCCACTGATTTGTATGTTACCTGGAGTACTAGGTTATGCAGTCTTTCACACAGCATCAGTGTTTAACTTCTAAGGTTGCCATATATCTGTCTCAGTCTTTGCATAGTCCCATGATGGACATTTATCAATGGTAATGGCACATATATCAACAATGGTGTATTGCAAGGAGGTTGAGCCTATTTCGTTCAGAGGTGTCAACCCTAATTCGTTTTTTTGACCTGGCTCTTTCACAAGGGTTTTGCATCTCCTACAATCGTCTTGTATAATCGCCTTATTGACTACCTTTAGATACTTGTGAGGAAAATTGAGTCCCCAGTGCTCTCAAGCCTCTTGAAGTCCATTTCAGTTACCTAAATGGAATATTAAGGTGGTATTATATGCTCTTTCTAGCCTTAGCTTCACTTACCATGTATCACCTTTCCCTTGACATTTATTCTTTGTTCCTGCTGGCCTGCAGATGTTACTGGTCAGAGTTGTTTGCATTGCAAGTGCACAGGAGGATGCTTTATCACTCTACCTACATCCTCCTATACCCAGACAGGTCCTTCTTACCTAAGACACTAAAAGCTAGGGAAGGGGATAAATCCTTTTCATTGATTCATCTGACCACTATTTCTCACTTCTATGACTGATGTTACTGTTCAGAGTTGGTTGCACTGCAAGTGCACAGGAGGATGCTTTGTCATTCTACCTACATCCTCCTATACCGACACTGGTCCTTCTTACTCGAGACACTGAAAGCGAGGGAAGAGGATAAATCCTTTTCTTTGATTCATCTGACTACTATTTCTCACCTCCATGACTGATCAGATTCCAATCATTTCTTTTGTCTAATGAGGGTTTTGAAGTGTTATGTTGCCCACACTAACACCTTTAGAGGTACTAGACAAGGACTTTTTATTCATTTGGATCCTTCAGTTCCCGGGATTTATCCCTGTTTACTTTGTTGAGGTGGGTACAAAAATTGATCCATATCACTTATTCTGGGCTCTCTTTGGAGGTGAGTAGGCTTCTGCAAGTCATGTCTCATCAGATTCTTTACATTTCTATGTTCTTAGCAACCTGGTTGAATTGCCTGCTGAAGTGCATTGAGTGGGCTGGTATGTAGACCTACTCTAATACTTTTATCTTTTTCACAGGATCCCGCTCTGTGGTGAGTGTTGCCCAGGCAGGTGTGATTTTATCAAACCAATTCCACTCTAGCAACCATTAACACAATATACTGTTATGACAGTGGAAGTCGTGCGATCCTGGGAGCATGCGTGCTGGAGTTTCTAGAAGGATCATAACTTAGTGGGCAAACTCACGAATGTCCCAGCGTTTGCAAAATGCTATCTTTTTTAGTATACAAGCCAGAGATAAATTGAAGAGAGATAATTGATAATCGAGTCAAACGAGCAGTAGGCACCATAAGTAAAGTGTGTGAATTATAGCGTGTGTTTATAAAAATAGTTAAGTTTAAAGTAACTGTGGAAATTAAGTGTATTACAAAGTTTGTAACGAGAAAGAATAAAGTAGTTTTAATTAAGAAAGGACTTGTATCGCTGAAGTTTCTCGGAAAGAATTTTTACAGGAAATTAACAAACAAGCAGATACGTAACAATACTTTATCTAGGTTTCAACAGGCTCTTTATGAATGAGGTGTTCCATAAGACCACCTAGAGGCAGACTTGGTGGTATTACTGTATTATTCTGGACCACTACTCATGGACTATGAGTAAAACATATGGGGATCCTGCCTGTCCCTGATAATCATTGGATTGAATAAATCAGAGGGAAGTTTGCTTTTAAAGATTTAGAGAATTTGGTTTACCTATTGCACTGTTTCCAGAGCATTGTGCCTCAGGACTCTCTAATGTGCATTACCCCCCCCCTGATTCTACTAGTGAGCTAGAAAGTCCTTACCACACCTTGTTCCTAGTCACTGGGATTATGGACAGAGGTTGTTCCTCCATAGTGTTTGAGTGAATTTCCTCCACTCTTGGAAAAGAGGGCAAAGTTGAGGGCCCTCCTACCTAGGACTGTGGATGTTTTTTTTCCCAGATGCTGGTAGGAGAGGCACTAGCCTACATGAGAGCCTACTCATAATAGTGATTTTGGTTTGATGCTTGGCTATCCGGTTGGGTTGAGCGTGGCCCTTCTTTTTGATCAATATTGGTTCAGTACATTGTTCATGGAAGAGGGTCCATTGTTTCTTCATAATTACAAGTGCAGAATGGTCCCATCCTGGGTCCTTGGTTGAGCAAAATTTGTTCCACATCCTCCCCATAATTCTGGGATCAAGTAGACTTTACCTTTCCCCACACAATTGGGGAGTGAGGATGAGTGTTCATAATTCCAGACCGGATAGGTTCTCTTTTCTCAGATTGAGTATGACATACAAGAACCTGTCATTCCGAGTTTGGGGTGTTGCCTTTTGGACTTCTTCAATTTGAAGAGAAGGTTTTTCCACTTTGGTGTTGCTAACCTTCTCATCGTGATTCCAGTGGATCAGAACACATCACTCTAGAGCTACAGGTTGGGATCCATTCACAAGTATATATATTGTGGTCCAAATGCCTTAGCTACCAAAGTGGTTCTGGGTGAAGAACATACCTGTTCTGGATGTAGTGTGGTAACTCCAGTAGGGTTCTAATCTTCTATTGGCATGCCCATGATCTATGCAGATGCATTCTGTATGGATAATGCCCTCACTGGCCCCCCAACCTTATCAATCTGGGATTCTAGCTGTAGTGTGAAAGAAGATACGTATGTTTTGGAAGTTAGCATTTTATTAAATTGAAAATGTACTTACAATAATACTTACCTGCTCTAACACTTTCCACCCTTCCTCCCCACTAATTAGATGTGTTAGAGACTGTGGATTGGATCGGTCTTGAAAAAGTGATAATATTATCTGAATGAAGTGCTTATATACAGTACCAGGATAGAGGGTGCATTGATGTAGGCAGAGATTGTCACGAGACAGATATTGCCAAGGGCAGTTAGGTAGGAAATATAAGACTGGAGTAAGCAAGAAAAAGTCAGACAAATGCTTAGATGGGCAAAAGAACGAATCCCTGGCAGTCGAGTAATAGCTGTATTTTGAACGGAAGTAAATATTATTGAATATACATTTTTGATTTAAGAAAATGTTAACTTTTAATCACTAATTAAATAAAGTTAACAGAGCTACAAATATTTTTTGTTTCTGTTTTAACAGTTAAAAATGTATTAGGCATGGCTATGCTTGAACCTGCCATCTTACGATTTGAATGCACACCAGATCTTGCACATGAAATACTTGAACTTTTGCAACCAAAATGAATTTCTTAATGGCAATTTCTCCAAAACATGTAAATTATTATATAGAATTGAGGCACTAGTGTAGCCCCCATTATTTGTTACAAATAGTAGTGAAGTTAGGTTAGGCACACCTGGCCCCTTAATATTTTTGGCTGGTTCCAAGATCTGAAAATATTTGTCAAGGCCTGTGTTAAACTCTGACATGTAGTAGTGGTTTTACTTTTTGTAGTTGGGCAAAATTTTTTTGTGTGTGTGTGCAAACATATTTGTGGTTTTAAATTGTATCTTTCTATATTTAATTATGTAGGAAAAATATTTTTGTATTTATATTGTCATGTATATCAATTATAACATTTGTACTTTGTTATCAAGGTTCAACGCTTCAGGTTTCTTACAGTCTAATGCTGGCTGTAAGTAAGAGATACGTGGTTTTGCATCCTCCATATATGCCTGGTAAGTTGGATGTTATTACTGAGTAACTTCTCAAATTTAATGTCTTGGGAAGCTGGAATTACTAAATTACTTCTAAGACACAGTATCTTGATAATTTGTAGGTTATAACTGAATCACATTGAGAAATTATTGTCTGTGTAAGTTACTTTAAGGATTTGATGTCTTGATAATGTGGAGGTTATTACTGAGTTACTTTGAAGAGTTAATGAAAGTATTGAATTACTTCTAGTATTTTACCCTATCAGGTTAGGTGGACATCTTTTCAGGATTGAGAGGGCATGCTTCCATAATAGATTTTACAATGTAAGTAAAAATAGAAGTTATATTTCAGCAATTTGTTTAGTTGAAAATAGCTAAGAAATGATAACTTATAACTTTGAAAAGTTAACTAAGTGTAATTTTCAAAGAATAATTTTAAAAGTGTTGTAACTTTGATTTCTGTATAGTTTCAATAGGTATCACCTATAAACAAGCTCCTTAAACATATTTTTAGGATTTTTCTGCACATCTCTAAGTATAGTCATTCTTTATTGATAGTCTTATCCAAGATTTTGTTTCCCACTTGAATTCCATCTCTATAATTTTCAAAAAACCCCGTGTTGAGAGGCTTTTATAGTGCCACAGCAAATAGGTTGGATAGTAACAAATAAATCTTAGCCTCCAAATAAGATAGAACTAATGGTTAGATAAGTTTCAATATTAAAGATTCTTGTCTATCTACATTGTTGTGTAATAAATAACACTTGGGTAAGCAGTAATGTTTGATATCTGAAAAAAGTGACTAGCAGAAGTTCTCGTAGTTGAGTAAAATGTACAAAATAATCTGTTTACCAATGCTCCATGCTTAAGCACAAGTCCATCTTGTTTAGATGGTGGGTATTTCTTCCCTCAGTGTTGAATTACTTTGATTCACTTTAAGCTCCTGCCACAGTGTTCGTGGAGAAGATGATTTCTAGCCAGCTAGTTAGTCTGCACTACTGTTGTGTTGGTAGCAACAGGAAAGGAGACTGTTGGCTTGGTCATTCAAGTGGCAGCCAGTGTTCCATGGGTACTTCCTCTTACCATTACCTCCTGAGGCCTTGTCGACCCACCAGAGGATCCAAGATCCAAAAATATTATCTTAAACTTATAAATATAGTGCTCCCATCAGAGGTTAGAGCATATTCTCTGATTGGACATCTAAACATCAGGTTCCACTTCTTCTCTATCACTGGCCCCTCTTTTAGTGACATCAGCAGAAGAAATGTAAAATTTGACCCTTGCTGCCTGTAGACTTGCTCCTCTGAAATCAGTGAAGTGGTTGTTGCTATCATAGTGCCCTCTGGTATCAAAATGTCCTCAGGTTTAGCAACACATCATCCATGTCAGGCTGGCTTCTGGAGTCTGAGATTCAATGATGTCATTTTCTCCCTTGTTGATAAAAAAAAATTGTTGGTCCTGGAGGAACTCCTTGGCTTTGTATGATGCTGAGTTTGTGGCAGAAATAGGTGTCTTCAGCAAGCTGACAAACTGGAGCAGTCAGCCACATACTCGAAGGTCAGAATAAACACTGGTTGATTAAATATACTCTTGTTGTGGCTAAATCTTGACCTTAAATACTGAAAGTCTTGATTCAAATGTAAAGTTGGATGAAATTTAATTGGTCAAAAATTCATCTGAATGCATAGGTTAATACTTTTGCAATGGGCATCTTTTTTCTATACATATCATTAGGCTTTAGTGACTTAAATAAACTACTTTCTTATCATGGTATATGTTTAAATTTGTCATAAAAATATAGCTAATAATCCAAATTTTAATAGTATACAAGTTTTTAATTTTATAAGACAATATTAAACAATAAATCCTGAATTTTCCCCTAGTACGAGAATTGTAACATTTTCTCTCTAGGCATCCTCTCTTGTCTGATTTATTTACTACGCTTCCAAAAAGTACGAAATGTAACATAAATTAATCAGAGTAATGTCATCACCTAGGCAAAGTATAATTTTTATAGCCTTCAATCTCATAAAGTATCAGTCATAAAGTAAAAATCAGACCTACTTGCCATGCTCACTTGTCACATCTTTTCAGAAATTAACACTAATTTTCTCTGACATTTAGTACTATATTACTTATAACCAATAGAAAGCCAAGGTTTTACTCTATCAAATTAAATATTACACTTAATTGTTTTCTGTACAGAGAATTGTCTGTTTTGCTTCCAGTTCAAACTTTACTCCCATGGAAAACATTTCAACAAGCTTAGCTGAATTTTTAATGGCTCTTGTCACATAGTTAGAAAGCCAGTAAAATTTTGATAGTTATGGGACATTGTCTGCATTTTGTATGTAATTATTTTGTGTTCTGTGTTCTCAGGGCTGTGTCTTGACTGTCACATTTTTTAGTGTTAAAATTCCTCCGACTGTTGCAAATGGGCTCTATGTCAACAACTTCCACATCTTGTGTCAGTCGTCGAACATGAGGTTTATTGAGCAGCAGCTTCAGATTGCCCTCAATCAGTTGTTGACATGGACCACTGCAAACGGTTTTAAATTTTCTTTTTCCAAAACCATTTGCTTGCATTTTTGCCACCAACGGGGGTCTCCACCCAGATCCCGAGCTCCGTCTCGGCGATGTAGTTATTCGTGTGGTTCCTGGGGCTTATTTTTTACCGTAAGCTTAGCTTCATTCCACACATCAAGCAGCTACATGTCAAGTGTGCAAGG